TCTCTATTTCCACAAAATCCCTGAAGGGAGCAACGAAGTAGGAAACCTGTGCTGACCCTTGGGCTCTCTTGGTTCATTGCCAGGAAATGGCAGAACACTTCCTCTTGCCCTCATTTTTCCCTGACTTTGCCCAGAGGCTCATAAGCAGGGCTCGCTCACTCAGAGCCCTGCAACCAGAGTCCAGCAGTGTTTCCTCTGAGCTACGATTTCAAAAGAACAACTTAAAGATTAAGCAGCTTAAACTGGGACACAGTTTGGACACGGGATGCCCTAAATGTGTTAGGGTTAGAAGAGATTTCCTGAGAGAATCTTAAGTGAGCTAAATTTTTAGGCTTAAAGGTGCGTCTGGGAGAAGCTACATTCATCTTATTACTTGATATCGTATTATTATAATGTAGATTATAAGATCAGGGATGAAAGAAAGCAATAACAGCTTCAATTTTTAAGAATTACAAATAAGACAAATGGCCATCTGAACATAATAAAGAAAGAATGCCCTCTCGGCTGCCCATTTAGCCTGGTAAGTCATGCTTAATTTTTCTTTCCTTTCTAGATATTTATATGTAATAGTCCTGGTCCATTTTATGCGACTATAACCGAATGCCACAGACGAGGTAACTGACTATGAGCAGAGATTTATTTGGCTCTTGGTTCTGGATGCTGGGAAGTCCAGCTGGTGAGGGCCTTTGTGTTGTGCCATCCCATGGCAGAAGGTGGAAAGGCAAGAGAGTGTGAGATGAACATCAGATCAAACTCTGTCTTGTGCCTTTATATAACTGGCATTAATGCATCCAGGGGGTAGAGCTCTTGTGACCTAAATATCTCCCATGCGACCCCACTGCCCAACAATGTTGCATTCAGGAAGTTTCCAACATGAGTTTTGTCTGAAATGGCCTTATATAATTAATGACTTATATAATTCCCTAATTTTTATAATATAAAATAGCATTGTCACAGTGCAGTTAAAAGCAGTATCATAATTTGTAGAGATATTATTTTAATATTTGATATTTAGGTTGCTTGTAGCCTGTCTCTGTGAAAATCTGTGTTGCAATGAACATTTGGGGACATCTGGAAAAGCCATAACTTCCAAAGGAAACCTTTCCTTCTATCGGTTTCTTTTCAAGCACCTCATGGCATTTGTCTCTCGTGTGCTGTCTGTAATGTTGTATTTTTTGTGTGTGTGAAACTCTAGCATCTGGTTTCATTTTTAGCTGCTGTGCCATGTGCCCAGTGCAGCCCCTCTCCCTGTTCTCTCTGTTGGACTCCACTCATGTCCTCCTCTCCTGTGATCCATGTGAGTTAGCCTAGAGTGCTCACAACTCAAGGACTCCCATGAGGTCCAAGGATTGTCCTTAGGAGTGCCCTTGACTCATCAGGTTAGGTGCGAATTGTGCATGATCACTTGCTAGTGTGAGGATGTAGATCACGTATCAGACCCTCAAGTAGTCCTAGCAGCCAAAGAAGATGGAGAATCTATGATTAGGGCTATGTTCGACAACATGTATCTCTCTCTCTGATGGGCCTTCTCCTCTGCTATGGCTAGATCCTAGCCAAAGCTTCCCTTCTTTCAACCTTCAAAGTGCTATTCTCTTTTTTCCTCTCACTCTCTCCTTGCTGTTGACCATCTTGAATGCATAGTGATCCTGCTGTTTCACCCCCATATTCTGTTTATACCCTACCTCCTGGGTCTCCCCATCTCATTTTGCTGACCTTGTTCTTTAGAAGATCTTGCGCACCTGCTCATCGCATAACCAGTCGCTGTTCATTACTCATCACCCACCCACTTCTCTTGAGCACACGGGATGTTTGCACTGGATCCTGTGATCTTTTCCTTGGGGCATTTGAGTGACTGCCCTTCCAGGACCCTCTCCTCTAGCATCTCTTCTCTCCCCTGCTGCCAAGTGGAAGGTCTCCTGCAGTTTCCTGTCAATAGGCCCCTTTCTTGCTGCCTTCTTCTCTTTGGCCACCACATCCAGACCTTTAATGAACAGCTCCTGCCTCTCTCCTGAAAGGGCCATCTTTATAAGCACCATGTCCACTGGGATACCTGAAGGTATCTCCAACATGTGCAGAAACAAACTCATCATCCTGCTGCTGCCCCCTTGGTCTGTGTATGTCCAGGAACAGGCCTGCTGTGCTCTGTCAGTCAGGCACAAAGACTCCAAGAATTCCTGCACTCATCACCGTCTTTGCTTTTGGTCTCCCAGCTGAGGCTTGTGTCTCTCTTACCACAGCTCTCCTTCCTACTGCAGCTGCTGTGGTGTAGCCTCTTCCCACCTGTCACCAGGGCTGTTGCAGCAGGTTTTCATTTCTCTCGATTCACCTTTCATCACCATCAATACCTTCTACCAAATATCCAACAATTTACTTCTCTAAAACATGTGTCTATTATTCCATTATATAATTAATTCAGATCCCTTCAAATTCTGACCCCAAATTCTTTTCAAAGCATATTCACCTAAGTAGACTGTTTATTGATATTAACCCAAACAAAGCTTTATCATTATAACGTAAGAGTGCAGGGGCCAGCGTTGTAGCATAGTGGGTTAAGCTGCTGCCTCAGATGCCAGCAACCCATATGGGCACTGGTTTGAGCCCTGGCTGCTCCACTTCCAATCCAGCTACCTGCTAATGGCCTGGGAGGATGGCCCAAGTGCCTTTCCCTTGCCACCCATGTGGAAGACCTAGAAGATGCTTCTGGCTCCTGGCTTTGGCCTGGCCAAGTCCTGACCATTGCAGCCATTTGGGGAGTGAACCAGCAGATGGATGATCTCTGTCTTTCTCCCTCTCTAACTCTGGCTTTCTAAAAAATAAATAAAGCTTAAAAAGGAACATATTAGTGCATACACATATATTGAAGCTCATAAAGTGCTTTTTTTAAGAGCAAAACTGCAGTATCAGATCTATTCATCCAATTCGTTCTTTTCCCTAGAATTTATCTCCTGAAGGGTTAGGGCTCAATAATTCTACAGAAGTATTCTCAGCAGCCTTGTAGCTGGAGAGAAAGATGCCTGCTCTTTAACAGCTCTGTGGTTGACCCAGAAGAACCAGCATCTACAGAAGATGTGAGGGCCTCCTTCAGCCCCACTTACAGATGAAGAACTTAAAGATTTCACAGGAAACACACAGCCATTCAGACGTGGTGATTGAGCGGGGTTTAATAAAGGGATAATTCACAAATATGTAGGAAAGTTAAGGGAAGCTGACCAGAAGGGCTGGAAAGGAACATCACTAGAACTTAGTAGGAGGAGCATCCACAGGCCAGGATGACTGACAGGAGCTGCGAACCTCTACAGAAAAACAAGGCCACTGCCAAACTACAGCCCGGCAAGTGGAAAGGGAGGGAGAGAAAGCACTCCAGGTTCGCACTGCTTCTGTTCTTTGATCTCTGACTGTGGTCTTCTATTGGTGAAACTGAAATAAAAGCCAATAGCCTGGCAGGTGCATCCAAGGAAGTCAGCATCCTGGGAGATGCGCAAGGATGAAGGGCAGGTCTGGACGAGGACCCAGAGGACTTGCAGAACTTCAGGTCACTCCTGCTCCTGAGGAAGTTCCTCAGGGAGACTTGGGGATAAACGTTGAGGAGGTACCTTCCCAGCTAGGAAAATCAGCAAAGTAAGATAGGAAGGGAGAACAAAGTAAGGCGGGCAATCTCCCTGTGTCAGGCAGGCCACATGGGAGAGTCAGGATGTGGGGTGGCAACGCTTTGGAGTTATCTGGTTTTTGTGGGGGCTGTTCCCTTGCAGCCCAACCCAAGGACAAAGGAAGCCCTTGACGGTTGAATAAAGAGTTGTTCAAGAGCATGGGATCTGCAGAATCTAAAACAAACTGAAATCAATAGATTTTTCCCTTGGAAAACTATAAATAGTTTCCGGAAATCACTCCTTTGCTTAATATCTTGGGAAACTATTTTCAGTAGTTCTCCTTTCTGACATTGCTTGCCTCTCTCCTTCCATTTATATTCACCCAGGGCAGCAGTGAGCCCACGGTTCAGCTGGAGTTTGTGCCCACAATAAACACGTTTGCTGCCTTCTGTACAAGGGTACTTAAGAAAGTTCATGGTTGAATAGAATTCAAAGATAACTTTATTTTGATGAAGATTTTTTTGAAACTCATGCATAGTTTTCTTATAATATGAAGTTAGAATTCAGAGTAAATGAACAATACCCTGATTGTAGGCAGGGCCTTGGCTTGGGTAGGCTTCTCCGAGATCACTGCAGAGGACAAACCTCCAGCTTAGGGAGAAGCTGGTTTATCAACTACCACTTGTCTCAGACCCTTTGGATTTCCACTTTTAGTCCTTGGAGCACCACTACCTCTGAGCCCAGGAACACAATGGACCTGGCTATTCTTTTGAGCCCATACCTTGACAACAAAGTTAAACCCATTTTCCTTGCTTTCCTCACATAACCAAACCAGTCTAGGGAGCTAAACAAGGCTGAACTTCATGAGTATCTTTCTGCAAGGTGAGAAACAAATGCTGTACAAATTGCATCTCCCTTGTTTACATCCATGGTTCCTTCCTATAGGTGTTAGCACACCTGTCTTACCATCTGGGGATTCTCCTTCTGGAGGTCACATGTGCCCAAACCTAGGAGGATTTTGAATATTAAGCCAGTGAAAGCAAGCCACTCCTGGGCAGATGGACTCACAACCTCCACCTGCCTGCATACTTTCTAAAGACCAGCTTACTCATGTGTCATGATGGTACACATGCCATGGGCTCACAGGTCACATATAGGAGGTGATCCTGGACCAACCCACTGAGTAGAGATGCCCACTCTACTTCACAACCTTGATTTCACCCTGGTTCTCCACTCTTTGGAATTCATCTTTTCACTGCCTTGGGACTGACCACTAGGCATGATGTGGGTGCATGCATTTTGGTCAAATGAACACACTCAAGGCACCTGCCTTGGCTCAAAGGAACTTCCTAGCTGACTCGTCACTTTCCTAGTCTTGTTCCCCAAATAAGAACAAACATGGAAACAACTTACTGTAAACTGGATTTGGCAGCCACCCATGATGTAGTCCAAGAAAGAGTGCATCTTGTGTATCTGTGTAGAAGGAGAAGGAAACAGGTTAATAACAGCATGAGCTGCTTCCTTATAGATTGGGGGCCTGAATTTTGGGGCTAGGCTACTGAAAGAGCAGAATTATATGTGGAGAAAATGGATCAGTTGATTTTATTCCATTTAAAGAGAAGAAGAAAGAAATGTTAATATAGTTAGGCTGGTGAAGGTTGTAACTCTGCTCCCCTTTCTTCTGGTTTATGCATGCTTTCAATCAGCTTCTACCTTTGGGGTGAGATTTAATCTGTATTTTCAAGGATCGCTGCTGTTTCTCAATTAAAAATGTCTCACATTTGGCTTCAGTCTTGCTTTCCTGTGTCTACATCCTGGTCCTGGTAATATTCTTAATATGCATTCATTTTGACAGCTTCACATCTAAATCTACCTGGGAAAGACTCCACTGACAATTTCCAGTTAGTTAGATCCTCCCTGGTCATTAAAAACAGTTACTAACGTATTGAGCACTTACTTTATGCCACGTCCATCAAATAATCCTCACAAGGGTCCAGAGACCCCCCTCATTTCCTCTCCTCTATGAAATCCTTTCATTACCTGGTTAATGCCACTCTTAGGATCATTGGTTGCTATTCTCACCCTGACTTGTATACTACAGTATCTGTTTAAATGTTTACAGCAGGTGATAATGGAATGAACCAAGGCCTTCAGCAACCAGGCAGTCAACCAGATGCTTCTCCATCCATACATGCCTGACCCTGCGGAGCCCCAAGATACCCCGAGCAGGCCCCTGTAGACGACATCCCCAGTCAGCAGGAAGTAGCCAGAGAGACTCATCATCGCCCCTTTTCCTATCATCAAAAGGTTGGGATGGTAGCTTTGGAATCCGCAAGGAGGGAAGGCCTACACTTCCGGGAACAGAGAGGCCTACTTCCGGGGAAGAAAGTTCTTGTCAAGGGCCCTGCGGGTGCCTAAAGGTCAACCAGTGAGGATCAGACCCGCCTCAACCTTTAACCCCCATGCCCTGAATCTATAAAAGCTCTCCCAATCTCTGATGCGCGACTTCCCTGGCCCCCACTCTGTTGCTCTGCTGGGGCCATGGAACCTCGCCCAGGAGCGGAACTCCAATAAAAGCCTGTGAATTAAAAAAAATCGATACCCCTAATCGATTTAATTCTTAGAACAATCCAATGAAGGTAGAATTGTTGTTGAGGAAATTAAGGCTAAGGCCACATATTTATGAAATGGTAGGGTTGAGACTCAAGTGGTGGAAGTCTGGACTGCATAGAATAGATCCTTTTGACCTCCACAGTAGAAGTCAGTGTGGTTGTTGCTGCTTTCTGCTGACTACCATCATCTGCCTTCTCATGCACCTTACTGATTTCTGGTCTTAATGTATGATTCTTTATGATTTTGCTGCTTGTATTTTGGTGATATTCATACATTCATTTGTTTTTTTCTAGTAATTGTAAAATGTTTATTTTTTTCTTCAAAATGATTACAACTTTTTAATTTTTATTTATTTTTTATACTCATTCATTGCTTATTATTTCTTTTTTTCCTCCAGAAATTCTTTTATTTAAGGCATAAAAACTTCATGCATTTCATAAATACAACCCACTCTCCCATGCTTCTTCCTCGTCCCTCTCCTATTCCCATTTTTATTTTTTTATTAAGCTCTATTTTCAATTAACTCTATACACATAAGATTAACTCTATACTAAGTAACGAATTTATTTAACAAGTATTGAGCACCTATTATGGACATAGTGATCAGAGAAACGGACACAGTACCTACAGTTCTGGAGTTCACAGTCTGGATCCTTCTATTTGGATACTCAGTAACTGTGATTTTTTTCCTTTGCTTCTTAGATTCCATATAATGTTCAAGAAAGGTTCTCAGAGACCAATTCACAAACTGTTAGTCTCCCTAGGTACTCCCTCCAGGTAGCACATGTCTATTGGCAGGCTATGCTGAGGCATTTGATGTTTGCTGTAGAACAATGGCCCAGATGACTAATAATACAATATCTTCTTTTTTTTTTTTTTGAAAGGCAGAGTGGACAGTGAGAGAGAGAGACAGAGAGAAAGGTCTTCCTTTGCCGTTGGTTCACCCTCCAATGGCCGACGCGGCCAGCACACTGTGGCCGGCGCATCGCGCTGATCCGATGGCAGGAGCCAGGTGCTTCTCCTGGTCTCCCATGGGCCATCCTCCACTGCACTCCCTGGCCACAGCAGAGAGCTGGCCTGGAAGAGGGGCGACCAGGACAGAATCCGGCGCCCCGACTGGGACTAGAACCCGGTGTGCCGGCGCCGTTAGGCGGAGGATTAGCCTAGTGAGCCGTGGCGCCAGCCTACAGTATCTTCTAATCCCAGAGACTGGTTCAAGGGGTGCACATGCTATTCAAGCCCCAATAGTCAGATTCTCCCTTTACTGTCTTGTTATGTTGGGGTGTAACCCTGTGGCTTTTGGAAGCCATGGAGAAGCCAGTCTGGTAGAAGAATCCTATCTTATGGCACATATATGCCAACACCATATACTAATACTCTGAACAACATTTAGGCCCTGTCCAGTGGACTCAGATAGACATGGGTTAAAATCTCAGCTCTTAAACTTACCACTTTTATGACTCTGAACTAGTTATGTGATCTCATTTGAAGAAGAAATCTCAGGGTTATAATAATTGTTAAACAGAACTTACTGAAGTTATTGTCACAACTAGTGGAAGTATTGTTCTCAGGCATGATTGCAGATGTTAATTATTAGCAAAAGAGAGTCTCTGCAAAGTTGAGGTCCTCTTGGGAAGAGCTTCTAGGCCCCTTAGTCTTTTATACTTGACCTGTTCACATTGTAGCCTTTCAACATGGGTTGTCACCATATAGAAAGCACTGAACACTGACAGCTCCATAGTTGGTGTTCATGAAATGTTGGCTACCTCCATTCTCAGTTCTCCCTCTGGCGCTGCCGTGGGCAGAGAAGAGCCTGACCTATGACCAGATCTCTTCTGCCTTTGGGGGCAGGCCTGCCCTGAGGAGGGGATGGAGGCACTTGGCTGTGTAGCTCCAAGACTACCTGTGCTCAACATTCTCATTGTACATGCATTACTACAATGAATTTCTGACTTCTATTTAAAGAAAGATCACATCTTTTAGACACTTGGTCTCTCTAACCACACAACCTGACAGCCCTAGCTTTACACTCCTGGAAGAGGGGGTTGTAGACATACCTTGCACTGATTCAGAATCACAATGCCTGAGTTCTTATAGTTCTTCTTCTTGGCTTTGTACTTGGGGTTGATGCACTCCCACTGCACCTGCAACAAGAACATCACAGCATGACAGTCTATTCAGGAAGAGATCAAATCATTCACTGGGGCCAAGCTGCTGGGTGATGCTGTGGAAAACCAGGTAGGAGGGGTGACTGATGGTCTCCAGGTGGTAACAGTAGTGGGGCACTTTAGGGTGAGACTCTCTTAATTAATCTTAATCCCTGGGAAATGACCGACAAGGTAGGAAAACTGAAGAAAATTGGATGCTGGTGGGGACAAGGATGAGTTTACATAGAACTTCACTGAGAACTAAAATAATGGATTGGTATTTGTCACAACAGTGGCACAGTAGGTCTCCAAGGGGCCTAAGATCAGAGCTCAGTAGTAACTGGGAACTGGGATGTCAGCTGGAGCTGAGGCACTAAGAGAATAGCTCTCAACCTTCCTGGCACACAGAGGATTTCATGGGACAAAACATGTCAAACATCCTAGAACGGTTGAATATTTCTGACCACCATCCTATGGTGGATCCTGGATTTCCACTGAAGAGACAACATTTCACTCTGACAGCTAGAAGTGCTGCACACAAGCAGTTTCCGGAGCTGATGTGAAAGGGTGCACTGGCAGTAGTACCTCTAGGTGCATGCTTCCTCCTCCCCTGATGTTCAGTCAGGTGACATTAGCAAATGTGGCACGAGCAGGGCCTTCAGGAAGGTCTAGGGACTGAGGCTGACTCTGCTCTTACTTTTGAGAACTTTCTGCTACCATGTGAAAAGGTCACACTGGCCTCCAGGGAGAACTTCCCCAGCCATTCCAGCTGCCAAGATACAAACTCATGAGAGTTCGGCAAATACCATGTGGAGCACAGAAGAGCTGTTCTGGGTCAACTCAGCTCAAACTGCCAATCCTCAGGGTCCAGTGCTGTGGTGCAACGGGTTAAGCCATGACCTGCAAGGCTGGCATGCCATGGAGGTACCAGTTCCAGTCCTGACTGCTCCACTTCTGATTCAGCTCTCTGCTAATGTGCCTGGGGAAGCAGTGGAAGCTGCCCAGATGCTTGGGCTTCACGTGGGAGACCCAGGTGAAGCGCCAAGCTCCTGGTATTGGTTGGCCCAACCCCAGCTGTTGTGGCCATTTGGGAAGTGAACCAATGGATGACAGATCTCTCTCTCTCTCTCTCTCTCTGCCTTTCAAATAAACACATAAGCCCTAAAAAAAGAAACTGCCAATCCAGAGAATGGTGAGTTAATAATGACTGCTGTTTCAGGTGGGAAGTTTTGGTTATTTGAACTCAGCTATAGATAACTAGTACAGTAGTTTCTCTTCAATGGATAAAGTCTAGCAAGGGGTGGACAACTACATAAGGATTTGGAAGAAAGGACTCCTGTTCTGGGTTAGGAACCCCTATCACTCCCTCCGAATCTGAGATTCTTGGTGGGGAGAGAGAGAAGTTGGAGGAGAGATACCTCAAAGTGGAATCTGAAATCAGATCTCTAACCATGTTTTTCTTTTCTTTTCTTTTTTAAAAAGCCTAATGTGTCCACCAACAAAAGATAGTCGTTGTCTTTCCTTCTCTCCATTTGGTTTTCTTTTCATTTGCTATCAAGGTGCACAGGGCTTGATAAGCAAGAATTCTATCCCGTATCAACATCGATTTGGCATTTATAGACAAAGCATCCAAAGTATCTCCTCAACCCTCAAAACGAATTGCCTTTCCCCACAAAATTTCTCTAATATTACAGTATAAACAAGTGGCTAGGGATTTACATTAAAATTGGAAGAAAAAAATCCCAAAAATTAGCTGTGCCTAATCCTTTGTCATCTACAATCGGTGTTTACCACAATTCCTTCAATTAGCAGGATATCTGCAATACAATCTTGGATGAAGTAAAGATTCTGAGATCTGTTAAGAATGATGAACATCATCCACAAGACATCTACTCACTTTTAGCTCTCACCATCACCAATTTTACAATGAAATATGAAGATCAGTGAAGAGAAGGAGTTTGCCTGGATCAACAGGTGGTAACTAGCCTCCCCACAAAGCTTGTGTGTTGACCACAAGGCTTCCATCTAGAAGGTTCTTGGAGGAGCTATCCTATTTGTTTTTATAATTTTCCCCTTGGGGCACATCAAGCTGTGATGCTTATGCTTGTTGCTCCAGGATTAATGAAGAATTTACACTGTACCTTCAGGACCAGGGCTCTCACACAAAATGGGAACCTGGATGCTTCAGCTTCGGGGCTCAAGCCTCTTCTACTCTCCTTTCTGTCCTCTTTTCCTGGTGCATGTATGAATTCTCTTGACTTCAAAGAGCTCTCTTTGTTGATGTCTCCTAAAATACACCTATAAGTAAACTTCTTTCCGAACCTAATTCTTGAACTTTCCTCACAAACTAACCTCCCTGCCACAGGGCTTCCTCATTGCAGGAAATGGCACCATCTCCCCCTCTACCCCTGATCCATCCTGTCCCCCTCCCATCTGTTCCCTCATGTCCAATCCCTCAGTAGATCTTGTAGTTATTTCTCAAAATGGGGCAGACTTTGTGAGGCGGTGAGTATGCTGCTTCTTGGGTCACCTGCATCCTATATCAAAGTGTGCAGCTTGAGTCCTGGCTACTCCATTTCCAACCCGGCTTCCTGCTAATGCACCTGCAAGGCAGCAGATGATGGCCCATGTACTTTGGTTCCTACTACCTATGTGAGAAACCCTGGAGTTCCAGGCTCCTGGCTTACAGTTGGCACGGCCCTGACATATATTTTTTCTCTCTCTCTCTCTAATACACACACACACACACACACACACACACACACTGTGCCTTGAAAATGAACGTGTTTTTAAAAAGTCTCTTAAATCTTTTCTCTATTTCCAATGCTGTTTCCTTACCCAAGCCATTGTCACCTTTGTCTTATCAATAGTATTAGCACCCTAACAGATCTTCCAGCATCACTGTCTGCCCCTGTAATTGATTATCTATACACAGCAGACAAAATAATCTTTTAAGAAATTAAGTTAATAAACTACAGTTTTAATAAGTTATATCAGTTTTTAACTTAGAACCCTTTGCTGCACTGTCCAACAGAACATTTGACAATGGTGGAAATATCACGCACTGTGCCATTCAATGTGGTAGCCCCTGCTGCATGGTTACTGAGCTCTTGAAATGTGACTAGTGTTACTAATTAATTGAATTTATTTTTTAACTTTTATTTAATAAATATAAATTTGAAAGTACAGCTTTTGGATTACAGCAGCTTTTCCCCCAATAACCTCCCTCCCACCCACAACCATCCCATCTCCTACTCCCTCTCCCATCCCATTCTTCATTAAGTTTCATTTTCAATTATCTTTATATACAGAAGATCAACTTAGTATATACTAAGTAAAGATTTCAACAGACTGCACCCACACAGACATACAAAGTATAAAGTACTGTTTGAAGACTAGTTTTACCATTAATTCGCATAGTACAACACATTAAGGACAGAGATCCTAATTTCAACTGAATTCCATTTTAAATGGGTTCATTGCCACTATTTTGGAAGGCACAATGTGATCATGCTTCCATCATATGTAAAATTATCTACCAGAATCTCTTTTGCTTGCTCTGCCATTGACCATGTTCCACACATGGCTTCTTGACCCTCTATACCTTAGATAGTACGACCTCTTTCCTGGTCTTCCACTTTGCCCTAATATCTCCCACCTGCCTCTGCAGGGATATTCCCTGTGCTTGCAATGCTTTTCTCTTGCTTATCACATGGTTGGCTTATTCTCATCCTTAATGATGAAATCACCTTTTCAGATGATCTCTCTTGCACACACACTTCTATATTAACCTGGTTTTATAGCATGTGTCACAAGCTGTAATTTCATCCTCGTTATTTCTTGTGATTTGGTTTTGATTTGCATTTCTATTCTGCTTGACTCTCACCAGTCTCTCAGTTCCAGTGGGAGGGCTGGGACCATGTCAGGATGGTAAATGATGACATCTCTAGAGCCTGGCAGAAAGCCTGGAGCCCAGTGGGCACTACTTAATAAACACAGTAGAGTGAACAAATAAGGGAATATTTTCCACATGGCAAATGTTCCAAGGGCTGGGTGATTGCACCAACTGGGGGGTTTCTTGCTATCTCTGTGGTACAGAAAAATAAAGCAGCACATGACTCTTTCCTCAGTGAAGCTTTAAGATCCATCTCTATCTGAAAGCATCAGGATTTTTTTTCAATTATACTACATGAGGGTGCTTCAAAAAGTTCATGGAAAAGTGAATTAAAGGACACGATTATTTTGGTTTAAAAGAAATTGAAACCTGTGTATAGTGTTTCCATGAAAAAAGTCACAATGACCTTTTTGAAGAATCCCTGTATGCATGGATTTCAATATTTTTTGCATCAGAATAAGCTTATCTTTTAATTCCAGTTTCCATGAACTTTTTGAAATTCTGTTGTATATTACAGTTTTACTCTTAATACTATCTCAGGGGCTTAAAGATGAAATCTTTCCTATATATTGATTTGTTATTTCTGCTTATAGAGGTGAACTGAACAAAACTTTATAAAATCCTTCAGAACTCCAGAAGATGGTGTTAATAACTAGCATTGATTTATTAACTCCATAGGGCCTGGCTCTACATGTCCAATGGAGCAACAATTTCTCTGGCTATATTCCTGGTTATTCTAGGAATGATTTGTATATAACTTACTGTTGGTTTTAATTGTGGCATGACTGCTTGGGGGTGAAGGTCTTTGTGTCTGAAAATCTTGCAGTGCTGGGCACTTAGCAAAGCATATATAGCAGACTTTGTGGGAGCCAGGTCTAGAGCTACCCTTGGGTCTTCAGATCATAGGTTTGTGTTCAACAAATGATTGCTCATGGTTCAGATGAAGACTGTAATTCTAAAGATTAGTTCACTACCATCTAGTAAGGTTATATTCTGATCTTGCATCTGGATGAAGAGGCTTGGAAAATTAACTGGGTCAATCGCTGTAATCAGACCAGGCACAGGGTCTTATCTCTAAGTCACTGAACCTGCAGCTGTCACTCATCTTTGCTTCAGGAGGGCAGTAGACTCCAGGGTAAGAACAGCAGGTATCTTGGGTGGAGTTCCTCCAGAAGCAAATCCACAGCAAGGCTATAGTTGCAAATAATACTAAGAAAGTACCAATACCAGTAAGCACCAATAGAAAAGCAGGGAACTAGACAAAGAGGCAGCCATGCAGGGTGCATTAATTAAGCCAGTCTCCACTGTGGGCAAATGGGTTCATTCCTGTGGGAGAACCCTGAGAAATGGAATAGAACACAATCCTAGAATTCTGCCACCTCCAAGGCAAGGGAGGTGGGTCATTCATACCCCAGCTCCCTTTAGGACTTGTTGAATGTCTCCTGGAAGGTGTCAAATCTCCCTCTACCCTTTTAACTTGCTTTGGGTATAAGTGAAACAAGCCCCAGAAGCCGGAGAAAGCTCTCAGGCAAAGAGACTCAAGTACTACAGCTGGAGTCAAGCAGGTGAACACTGACCAGGTAAGTTATGGATGATATCTATCATCTATCTATCTATCTTCTATCCATCCATTCACCCATTGGAAGGAACTTCAGAAATCTTGTTGGAAATTAAAAGACAAAATTATTTTGGTGCAAAAATTTTGGGAAGTCCATGGATACAAGAATACAAGGGATCTTCAAGAAGTTCATGGAAGATATATATTTTGAAAAAAAAAACTATGCGTGTGCGTTAAAATAATTTCTTCAATGCATAAAATATGTTGCCAATATCATCAAGTCATGGAAATATAGAGCTGGAAAGAATATGACTACTAACAGCAGCAATTTAGGAAATGCTACTTATGTGCTAGGTGCTCTGCTGGTGCTATCACAGATCATTTCGTGTAATCTTCATAAATTCTGAGACGTAGGTACAATTTTCACCCTTATCTTTTAGGTGAGAAAAATGAATCACAGAAAGATTAGAGTGCTTTTCCAAGACTACACAACTAAAAGAAGTTAGAAATATTCTCCTCTAACCTTTTTATTTTACTGATGAATGAACTGAACCATTGAGGGTAATGTCTTGACCAAGACCACACAATTGCTGTGTGTTGGGCTAGTTCTAGAATCTAGGTACTCAAATCCCACTATGTTGGCCGGAGCCGTGGCTCACTAGGCTAATCCTCCGCCTTGCGGCGCCAGCACACTGGGTTCTAGTCCCGGTCGGGGCACCGGATTCTGTCCCGGTTGCCCCTCTTCCAGGCCAGCTCTCTGCTGTGGCCAGGGAGTGCAGTGGAGGATGGCCCAAGTGCTTGGGCCCTGCACCCCATGGGAGACCAGGAGAAGCACCTGGCTCCTGCCATCGGATCAGCGTGGTGCGCCGGCCACAGTGCGCCAGCCGCGTCGGCCATTGGAGGGTGAACCAACGGCAAAGGAAGACCTTTCTCTCTGTCTCTCTCTCTCACTGTCCACTCTGCCTGTCAAAAAATAAAAATTAAAAAAAATCCCACTATGCTCCCTGTCATCACTCTTACGCATATATTCAACTGTAGCTAAGTCCTAAGGATGCATCACAGAGAGTGTCCTAATAATGCATCCTACAGGGTTTGGGGACAGTACCACATTTGGTTTACCATGTACCTGTTTCCCTTCCATTGCTCCTCTCATTTCCTTGAATGTTGAGGTGAATTCTCCAATGAAGTCATGCTTGCCGTTGGAATCCCAGTCCCATACTATGCACTGCAAGAGAAAAGAATTACCTTTAACATTTATTTATTTATTCATTTATTTATTTGAGAGAAGGATGAGAGAGGGAGGGAGAGAGGGAGGGTGGGAAGAAGGGAGATATATATATATAAAGACCCATGGTTCATTCCTCATACACCTGCAACAGATGGGAGTGGGCCTGGTCAAAGCCAGGAGCCTCAATCCAGGTCTTCCACATGGGTGGCATGAGCCCAATGACTTGCACCATCACCACAGCCTCCCAGGGTCTGCATTAGCAGGAAGCTGGAGTCAGGAGCCAGAACAATGACTCGAACCCAGAGACTCCAATGTGGGAGGCAGATATCTTAACCTCTAGGCTAAACATCCACTCCCCTTATTCACTTCTAATAAAAGGGCTCCCAAGTAACATCCTCTGTGTTACTGGATTAAATTGGCAACAATGCCTCTGCTTGGTCCCAAGCTTAGGTGAGGAGGAAAGTCTAGATTTTTTGTCCTCCACAGTGGAGGTTAGACTAGGATCTCATGCACTTGAGATATCATTTTTATATTTAAAGCCAATGATTCTTAGTGAGAAAGTCCCATATCTCCAATAAAATCAAGGCAGTCAAGGGTACCTTCTATCAGAGATTTTCCTCAGAATATTGGGGTTCTAAGAGGTAGCCTGGTCCTTCCTCAGGGGGCAGATTTTATTGACTAGTCCTGCCTAGAAATCCTGATTGTAAATCTGTGGGATCCTGTGCAATGCCTCCTTATAGATCTACAATGAAATTATCTAGAAGGATCCAAATTAATTCCTACTCATTCATTTTCTGACACAGTAGATTGCACCAACATTCATCCTGTTGCTGCACACAGAAAACTGGGCATCATTTCCAACGCTCTGCCTTGTCACCCACACTAGGTCTCTCTGTCCTCCCGAACACAGCCTGGCTACATTATCACTGATTATTCCATCTATGGTCTGGCAGGCCTCAGCTGGTAGTTCTTTCACTCTCCTACTTCTGTGACCCACCAACCCTGCCAATTCCCTGCTTAAAAAATGTGTATAGGCTAACAGGTCTTCCAAAGTCTTTCACACTCTAATTCCCTACATATTTCCAAATTTACCTTTTAAGATTTATGTTTACAATATTTTCAAGTTTTTCTAACATGTGGTGGGGAAGCATAAAAAGCATTTGCTACAAGGAATTCTCAGCTTCTGCTCTCTCTTAAAATGTGGAAGCCTTCACTGAACATTTTTTTTTTCCTTTTTTGCTTAGAAAACATTAATAAATCCTCTGGAAATAATGCAGGAGAATAAAGCAGAATGCAAAAGTTAAGACAAAGAGAGCTAAACTGCTCTGCTGAAAAATGTGCCATCATCAAGTTGTGTTTTGCTCTTGGTGGCTAAAAGCACAGAGGTGGGAACAAGGATGTGGGTTGAGAAGAAACTGGGGCAGATTTAACCAGAGGGCTGAAGATGGACCATGCATTGGGTGGGAGGAGGCAAGAAATAGGTTGAGAACTTTGAAAGGGTGGTGTCTTATTTCTAAGGTCAAGTTAATTATACACAACCACCCAAACTTGTCCTTCTCCTGCTAACCCTGAGACTTCAGTAAGCCTGCTACTCCTAGCAGCGTGATGCTGATGGTGGTTTGCACAATGAAGCAGGGGAGCTCTGTTGTGTTTGAGGACAAGCGGACCAGAGAAAAGCTGACCCAGCCTGGCAGTGACAGAGAACTGACTGCAGGTGACTCCTAGGGGCAGAATCCACAGAAATACTAGGCTCTTTTGTAGTCACATGGAATCAGAATTTTCTTTGTGAGTGTTTAGAAAAGTTTAGCCTCCAAGATTGGAGACTTATAATTAAAATACAGATAAAATAATTCTTGTGTTTAGATCATTACTTGTTTACTCAACTGGAAGATGCTAAAAGTTAGCATCTAAAAATGCATGCATCTGAAGGTCTGAAAATCCTTTTAATAAAAAATATGATCATTGAGTTTATAAAGATTGCCTTCAGTGCTGGAACTAAATATATCTTGGGATATATTCCTTCTGATCACATGGCAGGATTATATTTCTTTATCCCCCTTGGGTTTGGCTATCACCATACAATTCACATTGGCTTATGAAATATAAGTAGAAACCACCTGAGCATTTTCAAATGGAAGCTTTAAAAGCTGGAGTGTGGTTTACCTGTTTATCTCTCTCAACACCTTAGTGATAAACAACATTATTAACAGTAGCTGTTCTGTCAACCTGAGTCCCTAGGTGAGGGTCACACACAGCAGGATTTCCAGATGTCCCATGATGGACCCACATGAGTAAAAGAAATAAATCTAGTTTTCAGCCTCTGAAATTGTTACGACATAACTTCCTTTAAAAACCATTTAAATACTTCCAGCATCATCACAGGAAAAAGTATTGCAACTTACTTTGACTCCCACAGTGAGAAAAAAAATTTTAAGGGGAAGTCACAAAGAAGTAGCATTGACTGATAGTTAGTCATCCCAAAACAAAACAATATGTCTGTGAAAGAATATGTTTTATGCCAGAAATGTTCAAACAGAAACTGCAGGACTACATGCAAAAGATACAGTAGAGAAAGTCAAGTGGAAAAAGTTATAAAGGAGCTGGTGGGGTGGTATTGCACCTTAATTTGGAAATACTAAATTTAGGTCTAGTTGCACAGGGTGCAAAATAAAGTGGATGAAAGACTGAGTTCATGCTTGTTGAAATGCTAAGCAATACAATGACACTTCAGTAGAGTGACAAGACCCTTTGTAATTACAAGGGAGGGTGAAGTTCCTTTTCATTTCTTCCAGTGGGCAGTGGAACAAATCAAGGATTCAGTCACTTGGAAAAACTGCTCAGGATGTACACAGCAATCACCACACCGCAGAGCTCTGTGTACTGTCTGCTGGTGCAACCAAGTGTTGCTCTCTGATGAGCCCCTTCTCACTGACCCAGACACTTGCATGTTTACTACCCGGAGCATGAAGCAGAAAACACTTGTTGGATCTAGAGAAAGAAAAAGAACAGTTCCTGGGACCTGGTCTGAGGCTCCTAACTTTGCCTGGTAGTAAATACACACTTACTCTTCTACCGTTGGGAGTAGCAGATAAATAAAATACAAGAGAGGAAAAGGGGAGAAGCCTTTTTAACAGTCCCTTGCACTGGGAAGAAGGGGAGCCCCATCTTCAGGGGAGGGGGCATAAACTGTATGCCACCCCTTGGTACTCTTAGATTGCTCATTGTTCTTTGGTTGTTACTGTTCCTCATCCACCTGCAAACTGCAACATTCAGATGTTTGTAATGTGCATTCCAAACCACTGACTATCCTGGAGGTTGAGTCAGGCTTGATGGAACCCCTGTCTGGGTCTTCAGCAGCAGGCACCACTTCTCTTACATGGACCCTGCTTCCTCATCCAGCTAGCTTGTCTTATCATGGCAGCTGCAGAATTTTGTTTTGACCTTTCTCAGAAGGGATCCCATAGGACTTTAAGACATGGTGAAGCAGACAACTAAAAGCAGCCTTCCCCTCTCATCCATGAAGCTGGCTTATGACAGCTCTGATGCAGCTGCCAGAGGATTGCATCTTGTGGGAAAAGTAAACAGATCAACCACCCTGTAGAAAAACTGAGCCAGAGGCAGGGTTCTTGGCCTGAACCAACAGGGAGGCCTTGAGACATCGTTGGAGCTCACAACTGTCTACATGCCAGAAAGCCCTCTCACATTTTAATATTGCATTAGGTAGAGCATATTAAGATGCCTAAATGTGACATATGGTCTAACCAACTTCCTTGTTTACAGAAAAGGAAACTGGGAAGTGACTTCTTAAGTTCACCCAGTAAGGAGGCACTAAAATTCAGGTTTCCTGCTTCCTCACTATCACTATCATAAATAGTGAACTATAATAGTTAAAAAGCATTTGTGCTTACTATGAGCCAGACACCATTCAGGGCACTTCATGCATGTGAGTTCCCAGAGCACTATATTGTTAAGTTCATTTTACAGATGAAGAAGCTGAGGCACGGAAAAGCGAAGTAGCTTTCCCCAAAATTACACAGCTAGCACTAGGAAATCATTGAACGAAAGGCTTACTTCAGCCCTTCAGTTTCACAGATTGTCTCAATTCAGCATCTTTTATGAACCTAGGCCATGGGTGTTTGCGGTCTTCAATTCTTTACAACAGCCCTAAAGTGACAATATTAGTATTGTTATCTAGCTGCAGGTGACTGCCATTCATAGATGTCATTTATAGGTTTAGAGGGAACAAGTGGCTTGACTAGACGCCTAGCAAGTGACAAAGATGGATTCGAACCCAGGTGTCCGATGTCACAGCTGGTCTGTTCTCTGTGATGCATGCTTCCTCTTCATAGAAGCATGTGTGTGAATTCAGAATCAAGGTCTCTTAAGTCAACTCTGTAAAATCCCCATTCTCTGATTGAACTGTAAATTACTAGGATTTTCTGAGGTTATCAAGCAACACAGAGAACCTGCTCATGATTTCCATGAAGGAAAATGCAAAGACAAGCAGCATGTGTTCTATTTCTGCTGTCCTCACATAAATGGTGTGTCTTGAAGGATTAGGCTACTCTCTCCTACTCTTTTTCTTTTAGATTAATTTATTTATTTGAGAGGCTGAGTTACAGAGAGAGAGAGAGAGAGGAAGGGAGGGAAGGAGGGAGGGAGGGAGAGGGAGAGACAGAGAGAGAAATTTTTCATGTGTTGGTTCACTCCCCAAATGCCTGCAACGCCCAGAGCAGAGCCGGAAGCCAGGAGCTTGCACCACATAGGTGCAAGAGTCCAAAGACTTGGGCCACCCTCTGTTGCATTAGCAGGGAGCTGGACTGGAAGTGGAACAGCTGGAACTTGAACTGGCATCCATATGGGATGCCAGTGCTGCAGGCTGAGGCGTTAACCTGCTGTGCCACAGTGCCAGCCCCTTTCTCCTGTTCTTATTTTACATTTGCCTTGAATCTAATAGAAGAAAGATGTTGTGCCACTTTATTGCACCATAGCTTTAT